CGAACATATTTTTGGGATACCGCAGTCCCATATGGATCAGAAAATAGCCACAATGTAGTACAATTAAATCCCCATGAAGATAAATACTATCTCCTTACAACATACCCTACATTAATGCAATCACTCAAAAAATTTTCACCCGAAAGCATCAGAGCCATTGCTCGTAATCCAAATATTGATTTACAATCAATTGGAATATATTCTAAATCAGATATCCAACATCACATTAGAACACAACAGTTTCAGGAACTATTAACACAAATGGACACAATACAAAGACAATCAATTGACCAGAATTTAAGAAAACTTGCCGAAACCGCAGGATTCGCAGACATTTATACACAAGACTATAGCGGATATTTTAAAGAAGTCAAAGACTACATATATTTAAACGGTGAAAAATACAGACCACAAGATATTTCACCTATCAATATTTTTAGCTTTGTTACCCTAAAAAATGAAATTCTCGATTTTCTAGGATGGCCCTATTACATCTTAGAAAAATTGACTATCCTATACGCAATGTTTAACTTTATAGGATTTCTTTTTTCACTTTTAAAAGGAATCTATAACACATGCGCTATACACACACAAGTAAATAGACAAGCAAGTGTAGCACGCATACTATTTGCAGGATTTTTTGGAATTTTTTCATCATCAATAAACAAAATACTTTTAGATGCACCAATAAAAGAATATAATACAAAAAAATCCACAAGACCAAACACATATAATGAAGAACGTAATAAAGTAGACACAACACCTACAGCACCACAGATACCAACCCAACCACAAAACCATCCATTATCATTAGTTCCCCGTAATTTTCGAAACCTAGCAATCACACATAATCCAAATTTTAGACCAAATACAACACAAAGTCCCATCCAATACATAATGACACATCATTCACAAAATGAAAAGACATATGAACGTATTATAGAACAAGCTCACACCACCACTTTTCAATCTCAAAATAATCATTTTTTTAGCCCACGATGAGCCGACATCTTGGATCCCTCCATCGCTTAAATTCCCACCCAGCCAACCTCCAAACTCCAATCCCAATCATACCACTTTTTGCTTTCCCACCACCCGATTTTCAGATTATTAGTATACCATCAAGCACGAATTCTGATACTAACTCCGATATTTCAGTTTTATATTCTATCTCACAATTTAATAACTCTAATGTAGAAACCCCCGACGAATTTGCAGACTCCGAACCATCTCCCTCAAATTATACCCAGACCAACTCCTCAGCTTTTTCCAAACCCCTTTTTCAACCAGTCCCATCTAATCATCCACTCCCATCCATTCCCACTCCTTCCTACGCTTCCCAAGTAACCCCAACCTATTCTCCACTTCATTCCGACAGATCATATAATAATTCCCCAGATACCCCCAAATTTCCCAGGAGCTCGATAATTTTATAACTTTACAACAACAATTAATGCACCCCAACACCCTTTCAATACATCAACTATCATCCACGTTAACATCCTCAAATCCACCTACTCCCACACCCTCCTCAGCTTACACTCCATCATTAGCACAATCATCCACATCCACCGAAACGCCCACTAGCACTCACAGAGCTTATCGCACTTTTAAACGAAAATTTTTGTATCACCCATTCCCGAACAAACCCGGAACAGCCCGCGAATACATTAATCACCCGCAACACACCAACACGAAAAATTTTCTTGAAATCACCGTACCCTAATTTCCGCAATATACATTAAACACACCTAACGACACTAATGACACACGCAATTTTGTAGATGAACATGTTTTAATGCCAACACTTCATTGGACAGCTTATTATAATTTTACTAACCCCCTTTGCCTACCACTAACAAATACTCATGACAGCATAGAAAAGAACAAAAACATGTTTTATAGTCTCACCACAACAATAACACCTCGACAGTTTACTTACGTTGGATATAAAAAGCTACTAAAAACATTCACTGCACCCCGAGCTAACGAATTTGCAATACTACGATCATAATATCATCCGCCCTAATCAAGACCAATTTTTAGATGAAGACCGCTTCGCAAACCCGCAACTAACGGATAAAATTTTCATTAAAACATCATACGTATTTGCACTTAATATTTTTGATAGAAAGCATGATCAAATTATTTCCGAATCATTAGTCGATATTCAAGCATATGAAAGCTTCTATAATAAATTTCAGTTATTTTCACTAACCTTTCACTTTCTTTCACCACAGGAACGCAATTTGCACTGTTCCCACGATCTTATGTTACGCACTAAACAAACACACACATATACATACTATCGTTTTATACAAAATCATTTTGATTTGCACACCCCATCAAGACAACCTCACCATCGTTTTCAGTTTCTTAACTCAAGGTACACTTCACCATTTTTCCTTAATTTTACATATTGCATCAGAGATACTAACCTCCACGGTATCCTCCGCAACTATGACCCAGTTACCCAAATGTATATATTCTGTCCCATCACGAAGACTTTTAATGCCGAAGAATCCAGACCCTTCCTTATCCCGCATGAATTTATCCAGCCTATTGAAATACCCATATTAGAATTCATTCACAATACTAAATATAATCATAAGATATATAACCTCATTCAAAACACACCTTATGAGTTTGCAGTTGGCACCGAAGAACTAAACACCATCAAAGCACTTCAATTGCTTTGGCCACTGCTGCAAACTAAAAACATCATACGCATACTAGCCAAATTACTAACAATATCAGATATGATACACGACATCTTCCCTCACGGCTTTTTCCCAGAAGAATAAGGTAAGTATAATTTGAAATACTCTTAACTAATAAATTTAAATTTGTACTAACCATTTTTTATCAATGTTTGATTTATATTTCTAGTCTTCACACCACGATCACCTACAAAACAGAAAAGAAAAATAAAAATACAAACTTGTTGAATTATCTTAAAATTCATTAATTTCTTGCACTAAATAATGTAGTAAAATTCATACCAAATGTAGTAATATCATTTATATATTATTTCCCCATGAAGCAGTAAATTTAGTTATGATTAAAATTTATAATTTTACATTTCCCCAAAACGCAGTAAAATTCAAATTCAATGCAATAAATTCATAAAATGAGAAAGCAGTACTAACTTTTTTCAATATTTTCAATCACTCGCACAAGAATTCTATCCAAACTCGCACAGCTCGCCCACGAAGAATTGTTTAAATAATGATTTTAAGTTTCAAGATTTCACTATAAACAACTCTAACACACGATAACAAGTTTCAAACTTTCCTTTAACCCGGTTGGAAAGGAATTATATACTAAACCAAACTAACCAACGCAGCTCACTAAACACCACAAATCATAAAATAACAGCATGACTAAGAAAAGAAAACCAACGGTACCCAAACCGGATTAACCCAGCTTAAAACTGGATAATTTATTTTTTTGAAGACTATTATAAAGTCTAAGAAAGAAATAATAAAATACAAAAAAGTCGCAAGACAAACCCATACCAAAACAATTTGATTTTTGAAAAAAGGACACAACCAAAGTAATATAAGAAAGACCAACATAAAACGTTATCACAAAACAGGACCTCTCAGAGAAACAGCATGCAATCATACTCCCACTCCTGGCCTAACCCACCAGAGAGGACGTCCTGAGCATGCTCTATAGCCGGCCTAACCCACCGCGCTACATCCACGCTTTGTGACTACACTTCTATTTTTAATAAGAGGTCTCAAGGTTGAGAAACTTTTCAAAATAACCGAACTAAAAAAACGCTTTTGTGAAAACAACTAACTAAATTCATGATTAAAAAACCGAATTAACATAATTTTATAAAATGTAAATCATACTTTGCAGTATATAAATCAAACACAACAACAAAGACGAACATCCAAAGACTAGATGACCCCATCACACTCGAACAAAAGAATGGCTAAACACAACCGACATGCCGTCCACAATCACGACTCAAAGGATTTAGAGTACGACTTGACTTCGCAGAAAAGGACTCCATTGAACTAGACCAATGACCACCTCGATGCTCAAGTATACGTACAGATCCGAGTTACAAGGCATCCCTTCCACACACGATCTTCACGCCATTCCAAGACGAGGTTGCACACAAAGCAAATTCTCTACATAATACAGAAAAACCTGACATAGCAAACCACCTTGGATTCGGTTTGATTTCATTGGGGATCACAGTCGTTGTCGAGTGACGAAACAATATTTTCCTATCCCCGATTCCAGCGTCCTAGAACGTTCTTCCTCAAGAGGAACCGGATAAGAAAATGATGTTCGCCAAATACCAACGTTCATCATCCATCCTTCAAATTGCAGAGAAGAAAGATAGTTCTAAAAAACTCTGTAAAACCCGAATGGGTGGAACCTGATCTAAACTACATTTTATTAATGGATAAATTAGATATTTTACCACTGTAAAATATTTAATATTAACCAATCATAATCCATCCAACTAACAACCCACTTATTTGTAAGTGCTGAAAATACTTGTAATTTCAGCACCAGAGAGATTTGAATTTAACTTAGAAATTAGTTGCCTCTCCAAGAGAACTTCAGCTGCCGCAATAAGCCAGTATACTCTAGATCTATTGAGCCTAGCAGAGACTAGTTAAACACCCTGAGACTAGTAGATATAAGAGTAAGATTAGGATCGGTATTAGACTAAGAAGTTGCACGAATCTATTCGGCCGAAAAGCGTGACGAGCAGACGGTATACCCTATCCGAAATTACTCTATGATTTAACCACCTTCGGTTATAATTCAACACACCCGAATTCCTCCCCACTTTCAATGATCGGAATAATTAGTTTTTCAAATTTGATGTTTGAAAAATCAATTGTGGGGGGGGGTGGGTTAGTTTGAGTGGTTTCTCTGACTCAACTTCCTATGAATCCAAAGGCCTTTGCATGAGTCTTCAAAAATAATTATTTTTTTTGCATTTATCAAAAATTCAACTACTCATAGTAAAGCAACTGTTGAGCTCTATTGTGAAATCTCTATTTTACTGCTATGCAAAATCATAGTGAAATTGAGTATTTTCAAGCCATTTTTGCTTCTTCGACTCTTTTTTAATGTTAAGTTTCGGACCCTTGAAGTCTGAGCTCTTGGCTAATGTCACTGGTTCCAACTTCACAAAGCCATGGCTGACCTTCGCAAATGACCTTTTGTTTGAACCATTCAAACGTCAGACGATTCAGTCCTTGCCTAGGTACCCAGTAGATGCCTCCATTTCCCGGAGAGTGAATGAAGAAATCTTTACCAACTCGGTGATCTCCAATCAGCTTGAAAGTCCCTCGGCCGAATCCGATTTGGTTAATGATATTGGCACAGATGTCGCGATCAAATCGAGCCTGAAAAATTGGACTCGTTGTTTCCCGGACTGAGGTCCCAAACAGAGGATGTCAAAAATATTTCAAAAAGTTGAATGGGCAGTCGGATCATGCTGATGTTCAAACTGATACTACTTTTTTCCACACAATTTCTTATGTTTTACAGTTTTTAGTTCAAATTATAGCTTGCTTTACTTTTTTGCGCTTAAATTCAACATTTATGGTAGAATATATGAAAAAACGTATTCATAATTTCACACAGTACGCTTGATGAATTGTAATTTCATCATTCGGTCTTGCCGTATTTCACAATATTCATGTGAAGTTTCTATTTTTTTGATCATTTTTGTTGCATTTTATCAATATTAGTTTTAACAGCTACATTTGAAATTCAACCTGTTTTGATCCATAAAACATCAACAGTTAATCACTATTCATCAACTATCATTCAACATAAATCTGCAATTGTTTCCGTTGTTATTTTCCAAGATATCTCGCTCTAGAGTTATAGAAATTTTCTTTGTAATTGTCAACAAAATGAAAAAAGACTGTTCGCATCAGGACGAAGCCTATGGAGCAGTAATAAAACGAAAAATTTATTTGTAGAAAAAAAATGAAAATTTTTCAACTCTAAATTTTTTTTTGTGAAAATCATTCCCCCACACGCCGTGCAAAGTAAAAAGTAATAAATTGTGCTCCTAGTATCCATTAATTCAAAAAAAAGACTGCTGGTATATCAGGGCGAATCCCTGAATGTATCGACTGTCACTTAATTCATATCGATTAGTTTTTGGGGAAAAAAAATATTGAAAAACTATAAATTTTGAACAAAATCAAATGGTGAAATTTTAAGCCATACGAAACAATACGACCAATTTATTAGCCTCAATTCAATTTGGAACGATTTTGTTGTGTGGGATACTTTGCCGCGCATAAATATTTTGAGTTTTCGAGTTACGCTCTCAGCATTATCAATAATAATTCAAAGCATGCATAATTTAGGCCAGAACATGGCATATTTGGCAATATTCAAACCCTCAGAACTTTACAAAAAAATTATTGGAGGTTAAATATCTTTTTCATTCGAACTCAGAAATTCATTATCTTCAATGGGTTATAAAAGTTTTTCGTATAAATCTACTATTTCGATCGGGGAAAATTGACTGAATAAAAAACCACACCGAGCATAAATATTCTGTTTTCATCAAAAGTCGGAACAACAAGCTTCCTTCAACCAAATTGAAACGATTTCTTGGACGGATTATATCTACGCTTAAAAAATTGATCAAAAAATTACCCCGAGCACAAATAATCCGTTATTTTCAATAGAAAAAAACCCACCCCGAGCAAAAATATTCCGTTATTTCCAACAGAAAAATTGGAGCAACAAATTGCCGTTCATTTGAGTTGAAACGTTTCTGTCCATATAAATTTTGTGTTGAAGCTAAAAGGGAGGAAAAAAATATTCTTCGGATTTTCGTCTTTTAGAAAATTTATGGTTGGATTTGTTATTGTTTTTAGTCTTCATCCAATTTTTGCCGTCCGAAAGAGCACACATTGTTTTGCGCTCAAACTTCATTTATTTTTCACCATACAAATTGATTTTTTGTCAACTTGTATGGAATTGAAAATTAGTAATCTCTCAAGCTTCCAACATTATTTTGCGAAAAATAGCGGGCTTATAACACGCGTGAGTGATCATTTAAATTAATCTAAAATAAACTGAGTCCAGCACTGTTTCTTTTCAAAACAATACGAGACGCTCAACTTTTTTGATTTTAACAATTTTTGCGGAAGAGAAAAATTTTGTGGGGCAAAGGCGTTTTCCTCAGCTTTGAAGCGCAGTCGGAACTTTTAGAGTTTGCCCAGTGTTAATTATACAATTTTGATGTGATTCTACTTTCATATCTAATCTAATTAGTTCATCTTAGCGTAATTGATTTAACCGGTCATTTATGTTTGACCTTGACACTTCCATTCTCTCCGGCGGTGAGACTGCTTAATCACTTTTAAATGTTTCAACTTCAGATTAATTCACTTTACTCTTTTGTTCTTTTAATGGTTAAAAGTAGAGTTAGTAACTAAGTAAATTTTTATGATGGCGCAGTCAAGCAACGAATCTAACGTGAGAGGAACCATTTTTTTTTGACAGAACCAAACGGTGGAACCATCAATTCTTTGGGAAGAGTAGAGCGATCTTTTTCAACTAGCAATAATTGCAAAGAGAAACGTAAATATTGAAAATCTACTTGACCCGATTAAAATACATCATTCACATCCTTTTGCGCTGGAGAATCTGACGGAGAACGAAACGAAAAACAAAGAAAAGCTCGACAAAAAAGGAATATGCAAGAACAAAAACAAAATAATGGCGAAGAAGCGGCATCGTTCAAAACAGAAACAAAAAAATTCAAGGGAATGAGAAGCGAAGAAGCCGACTAGAAATTTTGTTCAATCCTCTACCTTTAAATTTCTTTCAAAGAGTTTAGAGAAAATTTGGCAACGGTTTTCGTGAGAAAAACAATTGTCAATTTGAAAGACAACTTGTTAAATAGTAAGCAACATTAAAGAGAGGTCATTGGACAGTTAAAGGAGTCATTGGAACAGTTTTGGGGCGCTTTATCAAAAAAAGTGTGACATATCCGTAGTAGAGGACGAAAGGATAAGGAACATTTTCATGAAGACATGAAAAAGTCCAACAAAAAGCGAAAATTGCTGGCAAAAACCGTACCACATCTGGAGGCACTAAACGTTGCATCGAGAGACGAGAAGGAAATAACCAATCAGATGAAAAATACTAGTAGTATTAAATCCCACGGATCATCCGTACACAAATTGTACAATCATTTTAAGGTCAAAAGAATTGTGGCTAGAGGTTTTTAAAAGGACACTATACAGTTTGACCAACGAAGGACACAACTTGTACATCCTGTAATTGCAAAGGCCAGTTCACGAGTCTATGTAAACCTCGTCGTGAATACACAAACGGTAGATAAAACAGATATTATTCTTTGGATCAACCGGATGAAAATATTGAGTGATGTGGAGTGATCAATGCATTGTCAGAATCCGGACAGAGCGAAAACGAGGATCATTCTGTAACTACAGTTTTTGACGACGAAGGAAAAGAACATAACTGCTCAATAGTGGCCTCGGCGAAAAAATCAAGTATCATTAATAATTCAAGTTGACTCTGCTAGCCCGGTCAGCTTCCTCGAGAGAATTGTTTTTCATGAACTGAGATTACGAGATTTTTATTTGAAGAATCATCCGGCAACTAAGGGTAAGGCAACTAAGGAATTACATTGTGGATCCACATACAACGCTATCAACATTACCGGCTAATTGATACTCTCGGTTTTCTCGAATCGACAATCAGATGAGTTTTGCCATTTTTTTTTCGACTGAAGGTCACGAGAAGATCATTTTTGGAAATGAAAATTTTGCCTGAAGTGGAGATTTAAATTTCACAGGCGCACTTCTCACATTTCCAGACCAACAAGATATGTGAGTCAATAAATTTTACTTCTAACTCCGGAAAAGACAGAGGAACTAAATTTTAAAGATTTATTTCTTCAGATTGAAAAGCTAAAAAACCAGATGAAAATCACCCATTTCCATGAACCACTTAAAACGATTCAACTAAAAGGTAGACGCGTTCCCCTCATCTATTAGACTCAGTTGGAATTGAACTAAATCGGCCAAAGCCGAGGGACATATTCAGAAGTTGTGACGAAGACCGATTCATTAGCCCAAACGTCATTACTTGTAAAACAGACAATTCCATCAAGTTAGCACTAGACTTCAAATTTATCAACAAACTAATTTACAAAAGCAATTATCAAATGAGCAATCACGAGTTCGTAGATAACGTAGCGGCTCACCTTTCAAATGATTATGTCTGAGATGTATGGCTCACTAACTTAAATTTAAAAAACGCCTACAGTCAGCTGGCCTTGGATAGTTTTATTAGAAACCAGTGAACTTTCAGTATAGTCAGTGGGGATATGACCGGCAATAATCAGTTTCTATCTGTTTTTTTTTGGATTGAGCGATATGCCTAACGAATTTCAAGGAGTCATAGACTCAAAGTTAGGAACAATTACTTTTATCGTTTAGACGACCTTTTATGTGCATTCATAGGAAGTTTTTCAGATCACAATCACGGTCAACCAAATTTTATCGATTTTAGACAATTTTAATTTTAACCTAAAATGGTCAAAAGTAAATTCTCCCAAAACAAATTTGAACGGCAGGAATTTAAAATTTCAAGACCAGGATTTTCCTCCCTGATCGATCAAACAAAAAATTGAAGATTTACAAATTAACAAAAACCTAAAAAATAGGTCTTTTTTTGGGTCTACAATTCAGTACATTAAACTCAACCCAAATTTAGCATCCTTGTGAAACCTTTTCGCTCTTTGCTAAATAAGAAACCCCTTTTCCATTGAAACGCAGATCATACTAAAGTATTTGAGAAAATTAAACAAAAAATTGTTAACCTTACAGAAAACGTTACACAAAAAAAACTGATGCGTCAAATATCGGAGTAGGGGCATCTTTAAAAACAACTCCACGGGAAAAATTGGAAGACGTGTTTTTTGCCTCACGGTTTCTAAACTCGAATCTAATTTTTCTACCGACAAATTAGAAATTCTAGGGGTCGTTTGGACGGTTGAATAATGTCAGGACTACACTTATGGATCAGATTTTGAAGTTATTACAGACCATAAAGCCCCTTTTCCGCTCTTTCAACAAACCACGGGAATAAAATGTATCACAGTTTAAAAAACAGATAAGTCGATCGAATGATACATTTTAACTTCACTAACAAACACTTGGCAGGAAAGGATATGTGATTCACTGACTTAATCCCTACCTTAATCCCAAAGACCTTATCCCCCTTCACATTATGATGAAGAATTCGTAGTTGCTAAGAATGATAAAATTAAGAAATCTATCCCTCGGATAACCGAAAACAGTTATATAATGCGATTGATTCAAAATTAAAATTTTCCGATTACGCAAGATTACCTAATTACTCATTAGCATCGGTTCTAAATTTTTTTAAATCGACACTTCCAATTTGTAACTCAAAACATTATCGAACTGAGTTTTGTACCTCGAAATGCATTCCTTCGGATTATTCGAACATTAATCCACTAAAAATTTCTGTTTCAAATTCTGCTTTCTTTAATTTTTTTAATTCTTACTTGTATCATAATTAACTCCACTTTAGATGAAAAAATTGTAAATACTGTAATATGGAAAAAAAAGAAATTAAAACTAAGTAGCCGTCCGCTTCCGGTATTCAAGTCTCTCTAAATTTTCCGATATTATCAGAACAAGAAAAACTTGTAAATAAATACTGCTAAAAAAATGGAAGTTGCCCGAACGTCCTTTGAGTTTAAACAGTTTATTTTTATTGTCAAACTAGTTGCTCTCCTAACAGAAGATGACCCCATGTTAAGTTCTGTTTTGAAAGCACTTCAGAACAAAGTTGAGATGATTAAGTCAAACTCCTCATATTTTAATCATTTTGTACGTGACTCAAATGAACCCGACGGATTAATATACATGGAATGCAAACTTGTGTTTTCTTTTACCCTTAGAAATGCCATGATGAAGACCCTCCACAAAGCACAGCCCAACGAATTCGGAAAGAAGTATCTGGTTCATTACATCTGGTGGCCCCACATAAAGAGACAAATTAACTTCCATGGTATAAATTGTTCAAAATGCACCAAGACGGGTGAGAATACAAAAAAAGGTAATTCCAAACTCAAAAATTAGTGAACTACCCCACTTATCCGAAACTAATGAGGAACTCAACTTAGATTTTGCTGGTCCTTTGAATTTTCACTGGGGTACAAACAAAAATATTCTGTTTTGCATCGACCGATTTTCAAAATTTCAATCATAAAAAATTACCAAAAACATCGAATTTCTTCAAATTTACATTTTTTTTACATGGCATACCTTAATTTAATCAAGTAGAGTACGCATCCTGTTTTACACGTCAGGACTTCAATTTATTTTGTGACTCGAAATACATTAAAATATATTTTTGTACAGTAGGGGATCATCGCCCCAACGGATCAGAAGAAAAGCTAGTAGGATTTGTAAATCAAATTTTTGGTAATGGTTCATGAATTTCAAAAAATATACATTAATGGAAGCTATCTCAAACCATTTTGTAACCTTCGATCTTCTTATCAATCAAAAATTAAATGCCCTCCATTCAAAATAAATTTCAATAGAAAATAAAATACAATTTGGAAACAACTCACGTCTTGTGAATCTTCCAATGGAGTTTTAGACAAGAAGAAGTCAATTTGATCTTTTAGAGGAAACATATCATTCCCATTTTTTTCTAACCCGGTTATTGAAATAGGTACGAGTGCAAAAATCAGAGGAAAACACCCAAGTCTAGAAAACCTGGACCAAAGACCAGGAAACAGATTGAGTTGGGCGCTTCGGATAATAACACCTGGACGAGGGTTTCCAACTTCTCCAGGAATTCTTCGTGAGGACAGCCGCCTCGTGCTAAGAATTCGAACCTTAATCCAAGTTACTCAGCTCCAGACTGGGAATAGCGAATGGGAATGAATAGCTGGAAGTTTTCCTTGTCATTGATATGGTTAGGGATCGAATTTATTATGATAGCCTCTATGATCCAGAAAACAATAAAATCACTTCCAACCCTCTTACAAACAGTGATAACAAAAAAAATTGAGAGTTAAGATGACAACTCAAACGATCCTTCAACACCAGGTTGCCCCATCAGCATCATTCCCGCCAAACCAGACGATCCATCACCGGCAAGCAAAATGAATACCTTCGTAACCTCAAGCCACAGACTCATCTGCCGGAAAGGACAAATTCACCGCAAGCCAAAGAACTTGTGCTAAATTTCCCCATTTACGAGATGGTCGGCTACTCAGATGAGAATCCCTCTAGTCAACAGACAACTCCTAATTCCGGTAACGAACCGCTTTTACGTCGGTCAAATCGAAACGTGGACCCGCCGAAAGTCCATGGTAAAAGGTATTCCATAGATTTTATAGACCGATTCAACGAAGCATCTGGATCGGCCTCTAACTAGATCGTCTGGGACAACATCAGCTCCAACGAGCCCAACCATTGTTGTTACACCCAAATCCTTTGGATGACGTGACCATATATCGAATACAAATCGTTCTTGCATACATTCTACCTCTACTACAGACGAATCCCTATAAGTGGCCATTGGTAATTATGCCCAGGACGCTGACTTAGATGGGAAGCTGTTTGAACACTTCATCAGCGTTAACAAACACTGAAAATGGAAAATCATTTTTTGCGCCCCTATTTCTCGTTTGTTGCTATTCGTATATTGACGTCAAATTGTTATTCCCATACAAACCCGTCAAACTTTTATAGCCTTTTATTATGGGCGGTAAATCTGGTAATTGAAATGTTTGTCATTCCTCCGGATAAAAGCTTTCATCCAAGATATCGTTCAAAACACAAAAAATTGGTCGACATACCTTCTTTCAAGTGCTTACAATCATTATATAATACATTTTGGGCATTTAATTTCATCTAACACTTAATGCAGAATTTCATTTCATTTAGCTGATTTATAATGTCATCCTTCGGATGTTAGTGTAATTTAAATTTAGCGTGGAGTCTCTATGATTAACTGCACAATTTATTTCGCTTAGTTAATTTTCTCTCAGCCATAGTGCGGAAAAAACTGTGCTTAATTTTCATTTTTCTTCCTCTTTCGAAGGGGAGAAAAGGAGCAGTTGATAAGCTATAATAATTCGCAATTCAAATTTTTTTTTGCTTCGAGGAATGATTCGATTCCATTTTTTTATCTGGTCTAATTAGTTCATCTTAGTCTAATTGATTAAACCGGTCATTTTTATTTAACCTTGAAACTTTCATTCTCCTTGGCGGAGAGAGCACACACTCATTTCATAACGTTTTAACTTCAGATTAATTCACTTTTATCCTTTTATTCTTTTAATTTTTCAAAGTAGAGTTAGCTGTAACTAAGTAACATTTTATCAAATATACAATCAGAAATTTTGACTTGGAACGCAAAATAGTTTTGACTAAAGATTAAGAAATTGAAATATTTTTATTTGAGTTTTTCGTATAAAAGCCGAAAATAAATATTCAATGTCCACAGAGTTGTTTTAAATTAGGAAGTCTAACAGTTAGATAGATGGAAAAGTGTTTTTGAACTCAAGGCAGCAGGAAAAAACGATTAATTATTTTAACCTCCGGAGTATCGTAAATGACAGAATAGGAACTAATAGTGTACTCAGCTTTCAAGTTTACTCATTGATAAAGAAGCCCCTCGACCTAATTAATTGAACACTCACATTGTTCACCATAATTCAAAATAACTGTTTTTTTTTTTCTTTTTTTTCTGCATTTTTGGGCAGATAATGTTTCAATTTCTGAAACAAAATGCCAAAACTGTTTCATTTTTTTATCGAGATGCTAAATTGTTTCACCTTTTCGATTAATTAAGACTCTCCTCAAGAACTTTTTTTGGTGGTATTACAACGATTTGATTATGTTATTACTCTACGTAACGTCACTTCATCGATAAAAATTATCGTCTAACAATGTTGGCTCCAATTTATGTGTGTTTAGCATTCAATAACTTTTTCCAAACTATCTAATGGCTATACTTCCTAAATTAAAACGACTCTGTCGAAATTGAACTGTTATTTTGAGCTTTTTTACGAAATCTTGAAAACTATTACCTCAATTTCTTATAACCTTTAATCAATAATTTTTTTGCGCTTCAAAGCTGAAGAAAATGCTTTTGGCTCAAAAAGCTCAATTGAAAATAGAAAAATAAATCTTTCTGTTTGTTTTGTAAAAATATGCCTCAGAAAATATAGAAAACAAACAACTCATAAGACCTGTGCGTTTTTGTTGTTTGACAACCAACCTTGACGTAAACAGCGCTCATGTTTGGAGTTTGGAAGTCAGTCAATTTGTCGTAGTATTCTTGGGGAGAAAGTCCATTTCGCTGTCCATTTTGCAAATAGATTTTGATTTGCTGATTGCAGCAACCTATGAAATTTCAAAATTGTAATGCTTCAAATGATATCACGCGCAATCCGCAAACGATTTGGAAATACGCATTTTGATTATTTAATTTCTATTAGACGAAAATGATCATTCAGTCTTTGTATTCGGGCTTTTTCGTGCTCTTGGAAAACTGCATGAATTAACTTTAGATATTCCAAATGGAAATGTTTTCGATTTTCGATTCGGATAAAAATTCTAATCTTAATCGAAATTTAATTCGGTTATCACGCTTTCAGTCACTGACATTTCCAGCTCGCTGAACATTGCGGTAGGGGCTGGGGATTAGGCTTCAGGAGTTTGACCGATAAAAGATTTACATTGACCTAATCAGGGGCGAAACAATAGCAGTCATAGAATAAAACCTTGAGCGCTAGCATGCTGCTACTTTAATCATAAAGAATAAATGATGAGAAGATGTGAATAATTGGTTTACCTTTCGAAAGTTTTAGTCTCAAAGTTTTAGTCTCAAAAAATGATTCAAACTAAAAAAATTTTATTATAATTTTTGTCTCAAAAAATTTGAATTTTTTTTGAACTAGCCTTTTTCCTCATCTGTTAAGTGGAAGGAGAAAAAATTGTAGCTGTTGAAGGTGGTGTTAATGAGGCTGTTGAACTCTGACTCATCAGTCTCCTGGGGAGTTCTGGACTTCACTTCACTGGATATCCAATACCTCAACAGGCAGAAATAGTCACTAAAAATTCACAAACAAAATTCAAATTAAAATAAAAGCCTCATACTAATTTTTGGGATTACAGTCATTGTTACCTAATTAAGTTGATGATATCAAGATAATTTTCAAACCTTACAAGGACCAAAAAAAGAAACGCTATGAAATAGGTTGTGAAATGTTTAAATAACGCTTGCATACATTAAGGATTGGTTATTTCAGATTTAATTTCAGGTCTGAGTTTTTCTTTTCTTGGTTATTTCAGATCTGAAATTTAGTTTTTCTTGTTTATTTCAGATCTGAAAAATCAATGAATCGGGCTCAATTTTGTATTTTTAATGTTTTTTAGCATCTGATAGCTACTAGCAGGTAATCGGCAAAGTATAAGTTGAAGACTGCCGAGGAATGTTTCCCCAAGCATGAGATAAACATTGGAAAAGCATAAATAGAGCATGAAATTCAAAAAGTTACAGGTATTCTAACAGTTTTTGAAAGCTTTTTAACACAGCTGAACAAGAAATTTACGTCGAAAAAAAACTTTTAGTTTTTCTGACCGCTAGTTAACCTAAACATAATTGTGTATTGCAAAAACATAAAAAAAACTCCATGTTTTGCCCAAAATGCATAAATTATAACTTAACAAAGGATTGCTCAAATCTATTTTTAGACCTAAAATTTTGTTTTTTAAGGTTATTTCAGATCTGAAGTTTTCCATTTTAGATTCAAATTTCAGATCTGAAATTTGTAAATTCTTATCACGATCTGAAATAAAGAATTTCAGATATGAGAATTAACTTGTGCAACAAATAAAGAATTTCAGATCTTGCACAGAAAATCCCCTGGGTACGTGATTGGAAAAAAAACTTGATAGTTCGATGACCAAAAACTATCCGTGCTCCACTGTGACATAGTATGCTGTTTCAGTTCATTTCAGTTCATCACCTGTGGACTATCTCACTGTCAATTATATGTCATTCTAACAGTGCTAATTAAATACCGACAGGTGCCGGCCAACGGCGTTGTCTGTCACCCTCGGTGCGATCTCTTATTTTCACACTTATTGTATACTTTGAAAGAATACGTTGGTTCATTTTATAGTCTGAGTTGGAATTTACACTTGACCAAACAGATTTTCAACAAGATGCAGCCAACAGATCCTAGTGGGGGAAAGACCCACTCGGTGTAACCGGATTCTGGCCAACGAAATTCAGTGAACCGCATATTTTTCGGATGTCTGGTATAACCGCTTCCAATGGGGCATGATTGCCAACACGGATTGAACTCCAAAAACTTCTAGTTCAATGGCACCAATACAGCAACACAAATCGCGGCATTCCCAGAGGAATTGGACGGAGGAACCGAATGACAAGCGAACAAACGCTGATTTCTAATCTCAACCTGTGCCTGGGGAGAAAGGCCAGGATGAACATCACAAGGGACGGCCGCACATCGATCTGGAGGCAACAAGATGTCCACGGGTTTTCGACGCTATAGAAGCGGAATTCAAGAAGGAACGGAATGAAACATATGAAACTTTCCAGTTACCATCAAGAAGGCACCATATTAACGAGTCGCTCGAGCAGTTTCATTCGGTGCTCAGCGGCCTGGCCGCATGGTGCAACTGCTGCACATTCGAGGACGAAGGACAAAGAACACTGAAGGACGTTTTCATAGTCAACAGGAATAACCGCTAAGCCCAGAACGAACTATGCCAGTTAACAAAGTTTTCAGAAGAGGTGTACAAAATTTCTTTGTCTCACGAGCGGGGAGACAAATAAGCTAAATCGTATGTGTCCACAACTACCGGAGGAGGAACTTCATCTGCACCAACAGGAGGTGGCCTACAGATTAAGACCGAAACGATCGGAACCATCCGTGTAGGATATCGGATTACTTCACCGCGGAAGGGGACAGCGTCCCGAGCGCGGTTTTCCCAGAGGCGGATTAAATCTGACGAACAGGAAATGCTACAACTGTAGCCAACCGGGATTCACCCCGGAACACATGACCAGCAAAGAAGGTCACATGCAACTAGTGCTGAAAAGTCGGACACTATGAACATACCTGCAGAAGGAAACAAGCTAGCAATCGGGAGCGCGAGCACCTAATTTAATTCAGGAACCAGACGAAGAAACGTTTGATTACTCTGAATCGCAGGAAGACCACTCGCCGCAACACGGAAGTTTCGTTGGTTGGGTGAATAGATGCGAGGTGGCGTCGCGATCTTGGGAGTAGGATAGCTCAGGCAACTAAATAGTGATGTCAGTTCGGCCCAAGAGGTGCACTGAACTCAAGGTCGCGGGAGCTCATTTGCATTTACGAATCAACGGGAAGACGACACGCGTATGGATAGGCAGTGGTTCATCTATTGCATCTTTCAAAATTGGAGAAATAGGAAACACCCTGGGCGCCCAAAATGTTAGGTAGGGGGTCTGACACCGGATGATAACGAGTTCCGCGACTATAGAAAAAACCCGCTAAAATTGATGGAGCGATGAACGTGCGGATCGAGTCGAATGGTTCGGAGACGGCGACAAATAGACGAGTGATAGGAGGCAGCAGATCATCAATCATTGGACGGGATCTGATGGCCATCTTGGGACTCAAATTGGTTCAGCAAAAACCAGAGTGAGCAGTGATGTCGATAAAACAGAATGCGACCTGTGACCAGGTGATTACACTAAGCCTGTGGCAGGAATACTTTAATTAGCAATTTTCAAACCTCTTTCGTAGGGTAGGGAAAATTAGGAATTTTAAAGTTCAGGCGGATTTTTTGCGAACTTAACTTATATCCAAAAAAGGGATGACGGGTACCAATTACTTTGCAAGAAAAAAAGGACAGTGAAATTGCGAAACTAATAAAGCAAAAGCATATCGAATATTTGGAAGAATATTCAGATAAATATTTCGCTTCACGTATTTTTATCACTTTTAAAAAGAACGGCTCGGTTAAATTAGCACTTGAATCGAGAGAACTAAACAAACATGTGCATAAGAATAAAAAACAAGATGCCACATTTAGAAGAATCGATGGACACCGTTCGACCAAAAGTCAGTGAAAGAAAACCGTGTAAAATTTTTTTGATAATCGATTTGAAGTACGCATATGGGCAATTTCTTTAGGTGCGAAAACGAACATTCAATAAAAATTTTCTTTAATAGGAGGGAAACTGATCGGTACGTACCATTTTAAGACGGTATCCTACGGCCTAATCACAATGCCTGCAGAATTTTAACGAAAAATGGATAGCATCGGAAATTCCACAGGCTCACGCGTTTAGGCTCAAAAATTTTGATCATAAAGGGAACGTAAAGAAAATCCTACAAAAATTACATTAAAAAATTATGTCATGAAAACTAACCAAAAGCAAGTTCGCGCAAAAAAGTAATGAATGGCTTGTTCACAAATTACACCAAAGGGCATAACACCAATGGTCTGAAAGACCGAGCCAATCAAAATGCTAAAACCACCGCGCTCCCTATCTCAGTTAAAATTGTTTATGGGCTCAATTTACACGCTACAAAACTATTTGCCTGATCTCTCCGAGACGTCCGCTCCCCTTCGTCCATTGCTATCTCGAAAAACGAGTATGTATAGACCACTGAATGTCAGTCCGCATTTGAAAATTTTAAACAGCAATTGGCCAATAGAGTCGATGCCCTGAGGTTTGGAGGCCTATCTAATTTGCCTCACGTTACTTGAATAAAAAAATTAACCAACGAGCTCGATAGGCTGAAGGTGGTGTGGGGGAAGACTGTTTTCGAAAATACCTGTTAGGCCAAAATTTTTTTGTGATCACAGATCATAAAGCCTTAGTCTCTCTTCTAAACGGAAAGAATTAGAAAAATCAAACCACACAAGACTCACGAGATACTTAAACCGATTAATCTTTTTCAATTGGAACAAACACGAACCGGGGACAAAGATCAGTTTGGCGGTTCACTTACCTCGGGATCCAAACGGCGCGGCGGTACCAGTAATAGCGTAATATATGATGTTCACGGTAGCGAAAATCAGCTCGATACGTGGCGCCTTGGGATACGATCAATCGAATTTCACCACGGGACCGGTAATTAAAACCTCCAAAGCGCAATCATCCAATCAAAATGAATTATGTAATTTTCGACCGTTAACTCGCCGCCAGAGGGCGACTTATCATGCAGTTGCAAATCGGTCAATCAGCGACAAGATAATTGCATAAGCCGACAATCAACTAAATTAAACGGAAATATAGTTGGGGCTACTATTCAAGTTATTCAAAATCTTACAAATAAAATACAGAAAATATGGAGAAAAGTTTCCGGGAGTTAAAACAATTTTTAAAGCAGCATCCTGATTTACAAAGTAGCGCCGACAAAATTGAAGAAAACACAACAATATCTAATCTTGAAGCAATTACAAAATAATCAAGGTCCATCAATGCAAACACTGTATTTCTCTTACCTTCATCTTACGCCGCCGAAACTTCCTTCGGTCGATCCTAACAGTTCAATCATTACCAGAACTTTTCATTTTACAGTTATTAGCATCTGATTATAAATTAAACCCTCAAATTACTGCTCAATATCGGGATATGATAAAGGAGAAAGACCCAAACAGACATAGAAAAATATACGCTATGAATGTTTACTACTTAGTTCGTAAATGAGTTTTACGTCAAGCAGAACGTCGTTTGGATGGACTACAAGCTTGTAACCCCTAACAATTCAACTACCGCCATTAACAACCGCATTCTGTTTTACAATCACGGAAAATCGAGTATGTTCCAAGCTGCTAAGGACATTTAATATCCTTATATTTATCGTTCGATAGCATCCATGGTAAAAGTTGCAAACAGTGTAGGTTGTCTGGTAAGAATCTCAAAGTTATAGTACAGAAAATGACATAAGGAAAATTGACAAACCGAAGGAACCTAATGAGGCAGTTCAACTTGATTTTTAGGGACCACTCAATTATTTAACGATTCGAAAAAATATGTCATAGTGACGGTGGATTGCTTTTCATGTTGGCGGTCGGTGATGGTGTGCAGAAATAACCGGTCGGAAAAAAGTACTGAAATATTTAAGAACCTACATAGTGACCAATGGAGTGGCCCGAAGGATTCACATAGATCAAGAGACAAATTTTTTATCCAGGGACAAATTTTCCATTGATGTTAAAGTCTTTTGCAATACGGAAGGAGTCGAGATAAAAAAAATCGCCAGTAATTGACCATTGTGCTACTGGATGTGTAGTGTAGAACGGAAAATAGGTAGTTTGAAAAACTCTATTCTCACGTACGCTAAAGAGACACCGAACTCTTGGAAAAAATGGTTGAACGAACCCTCAGCGCGCTACGTTTTCAATTAACGCCACAACTAAACAAACGCCATTCGAAGCACACCATGGACGCGAGGCGAATACGGTTGTAAGAAATCTCACCAAAAAACTCTCATTACAACATCTAGATTGTCAAGAGTAAAAAAAAAGAGAAATCTGCATGTTAAGATAATAACGATCCTTCCGTGCAGGATTTGCCACACGGAATATAGTAACTGGGATGTACGTTCAGACCTAGTGTACGACATAAAAAGCCGCAATCACCCACGAAAACTCACGAAAGGGCAACATCTTTACCAACAAATAACCGGTCGGAAGCGACAATCTCCCGCTTCCGATAAAAGTCCATTGGTATTTTATCCCCACCCACATTCCAGACTGTGTTATTTGATTCTTTGTGTTCGACTCAAGGCTGTTTTTTTTTGGGTTTAGAACTCTCACGTGATACCACTATTGCAGCCGCAATTGGTCAGGCTGTGGTAGACCTGAAGCTAGAGGTCAAGTGAGAGCTCGTCCTCACACACTCTCATTGCCATGGCATGGGATCGAAAACACGATCTGACGATTTCAAAGTGAACGCCTTACCACTATGCTAAATGCCTCCTAAATTTTGTTTTTGGTCAAATTTTATGCAAAAAAAAACGAGCTGAAATTTCAGTTTTCAATTGTTCTGTTTTAAAAAAAATTAAAGAAATTAGAGCCGAATGATTATAAAGCTGATAAGGTTTCAGTTGTGAAAGGTCGCAGTCAAGAGCAAAATCATTGTCGTTTTTTGCGATGAGAAGAAAATTTGAACTTCAATTCTGATCCCCGAGGAATGAGCTTGAATATATTTTTTTTGATAATGAAATTGCCGGAACTTCGATAATTTAATCTTAGAACAAGCATCAAGCTAAAAATACCTCTGCTGGCTGCATCTGTTACCCAAATGATCTCTGAGGTCTGGAAGCAGAAAATCCAGGGACTCCCTTCTGCTCTCAGCCCACGCTGCCGACAGGAACAGAAGACCTTCAGTGGAGCAAAAGCTTCGAAACTTTTTTTTCAAACCAAACATATCCAGGGCAATCCGTGTTAACAAATTTGTTTGTGCAATTTTTAATTTTTTGTTCAAATTTCTTAATAATTTTTTTTCAAACCTTTCTTGTAAAAAAATATGTAAATTGGTATCTTTCCTGCAAATCTTCTAAGTAATCTTGAATGGCATTTTTGTAGAATGGTGCAACGGGGTATGGAAAAGTTGCTTTAAGAACAAATATCAAGGAAGCCCTGTTACTTATATTAAAAATCCTGAACAAAGCTTTTAATTACTTACCAAAATAACCCACAAAAGATAATACAGTACAACACATATTGAAAATAGTTATAAAGTTTTAATAAGTTGTTTCAATTTGAGCAAAATTGTTTCAGAGTGAGGGTGAAGGTTAGGTATTCTTTCACGAACCCTACTCGATCAATAATAAGAATTATAGTAAACAAACATGTCATAGGACTCAAATCGGATACAATAATTGACCAATAGACAATAGACATGTCGTCAGAACCACAAAAACAGATGCAAAATCAAATTTGAAATCGAGGTTTGGCCGAATTTTGGAACAGAAAAACACATGAATTGAACGAAGGAAATAAAACTTTACTGCGTAAAAACGGAAAATGGCTGTGTAAATGGCTGCTGTTTGTTCATGGCTTGAGCAGATAAACCTAAAATTGCCTACAGGTAAAATGATCCTTAAGCAAAATGTAATTTTGTTACTTTGAAGGAAAACCTTTGTTATTCTTGCTAGCAATTTGTTGGTAACTTTTGCCTAATTGTTAACAATCAAGGGTTGACCTCCATACACAAAAAAAAGCTTGTCATACAACACCATAAAGGCAAAAACGAAGTGTACGGAACAAATGTTCATGATACAATTACCATAAATGAAAATTGTATGACAAGCAAATTTTACATTGCAGCATAAAAAGTTTCTGAAATAAAAAATAATAATTTTCAAAGAGTTTTTTTTTCTCAACTTTAAGTTGAAGTGTAACTTTCATGCTCAAATATGAATTTTATCGCAAAGAAAAATTGCATGCAAAAGTTTATCATTTTTTTCTGTAACGTAGTCCAGGCTGATACTTTTTTCATACCTAAGAAACAAAAACTTTTGTGCCACTCCAAATGTGAAATGATCAATATTTTTATATTATAAGATACCCGGGTTGAAGTCCCACCGTTTATTGTTAGTTTTTTCTGTTGTATCCGAGTGATCGCTATTTTCCAGCGCTGATTCATGTATAATTCAGAGTTTTTTTCCATAGCTAAATCTGCGATATTGCAGAACTAGTTTATATGATTCCGTAAAAGGTCAGCGCTAAAAATTAACAAATTCTAGTAGCTTTCAAATGAGAGAGTGAGTTGATTAACCCCATGACTTTAACATTTTAGGATTTGTGGCACAGAGGTAGCGCCCATTTCCAATAAACTGATATTTGCGGGATCAAATCGCGGTAGCTCAAAAGTTTTGTGAAATTTTATAGGTTTTTCATCATTGTTTCATTGCTAAAAATTAGTTATCATAGCAATAATCTATTGAGAAAGTTTGCAGTTGTGGCAATGAAAATCGATAATTCATCGATGGCGATGTTTTTTTCACTTTTTATCGCTAATATTCAATGTGAACTGAACCTGAGTACACTTCAACGTCTCAAAAATATAGGCCACGATTTTCGATTAGTAATGCCGAGTATCAGTGGGATAAGAAATTCAACCAATGGGTTTCTTGTATTAGAAAATCCCTGGTTTTTGTGTTTTCGGACAAAACATAGAAATATCAAAATAATTAGCAAAACTTTTTGACTTATGGATAAATGCTTGTCATATACTTTTCATACGAGTTCAACAATTTTCTCTTCTTATGGAATTGTACGAAGTTGTATGATGAACATTTTTCACATATGAAAATTGTATGGCAAGCATTTTGGTCAACCCAGGAAGAATAACAAACTTTTCCTTCGAATCGTTTCGACAAAAAATGTCTCCGTTAAAAGATCGAACAATAGAACCAAACTACGAGGCCAAACTGTGCACTGGTTGGCGCAAAGTTGGGTGTGTGAAGGTCTCAAGCCGAAATCTCATCTGGAATTAAACAAAATGGAACGAGGGTGCTCCTTTTAGACCTGAGCATTGTATGTTCAAAATGCTGGGCTTAACTGTTGTTTTTTTTAACTTGTGTGCAAAGTTATGTCAATTGCCGCACAGAAAGCATCAAATAGACCAAAGTTTGCTTCAGCTCAGCTAATAATGTTTTGTTAAATAATCACGCACACGCAGTAAAAAATAAAAAAGCTTATTGTAATTATTGTTTGGGCACATCTGTTATCTTAATTTGGCACAGTTGGTATCAGGGAGGGGAAGGGGGCGGATTTAGGGGGACGCCCATCTCCCCATCAGGGATTCGACCTCCTCGCCAACCAAAAGGTCCTCCCTTCGGTCTTAGTTTATGACATCCACTTTCAGTCAACCTAAAATTTTTCTAAAGGCGCTTTTGAGCGCGGCTCTTTTCCATTTTCCCACCCCGCCTTGTTAAATTACAAAACAAAGATGTCCAAAAATTGTTCACACGGCAACTTGCATGTTAGAAATGTTGTAAAATTTTGTTCACCTGTTCAGCTGACACGTTTTATTGCAGTTTCTAACCTGAAAAGTCATTTTAAATAGACTTTAATTTAATGAATTTCAGAAAAAAAAATCAAAGGGGGGGGGGCGCCAGAAAAACGCCATTTTTTGGTCAAAATTTTCTAAAAAGTTTGAAATCGAGTTCTTATTTATCCAGTTTGTTCAGTGGTGGGTTAAGGGGGCGGTTGGACTGCTCTTATCCTTTCAAGACTTCAACATACCCCCCAACTAAACAGTATCCCCCTTTCGTAATATTTATGACACCCATTTTCGGCTCGCTAACACTAAAATTGTTCTAAACTCGCCTTCGGTGTCAATATATACCTTCGTCGTCAATATATACTGAATTTGAGGATAAAATGCGCTAAAAAATCGCAATTTTTTTGGGTCAAAATTTTCCAAATATGTCAAAGAAGGGTCAGTATAGTGTTCTGGGAGCGCTCAGAAAATCAATTTGCTCGACCAAAAAAAAGTTCGACAGAACATTTGAGCTTCTTTTTTGAAAGTCTGCGAAAGTCACTTGCAAACCAATTTGAAAAAAAAATTGGCCAGGGGCGGATCTAGGATTTTCTCGAGGGGGGATTTTTGAAGCTGTTCTTGGAGTCCAATTCCTGAGGGGGGGAGGGAGCGTCCGCCCCCCCCCCCCTAAATCCGCCCCTGCGTGTGATTTTTTTTTGTATTATTTTGAGTGTTTTTGGCGAGTTGTTTGAGTTCTTAATCACTTCAGCAAGTAAACGGGGTACATATTTTAGTCAGTAAATGGAGTCAACAATCTTGATCAGAAACGGAGAAAAAAGCAGATGAAATTTTAAGGCAATGTTTTTATATTGGTGCACTAACATCAAAATTAAAACGAGAAGTTTCAGTTTTTACATATCTACAAACACAGAATAGTTCAACGCCAGCTTTTGAATTTTCAATATATATTTTTATATGATTGTTGAAATTTTATAAGTCTTTTCATTTATGAATCATTTACGAATACGAGCAGTTCCTGGAACGTTTGGATATAAAACTAATTGAACTAGCCACTTCTCGTCTGGACCGCAACCTGAGCGAAAAGAAAAGAGATATTTTTTTTCGTTGACGTGCTCTAGTGGATGTTTAGGAAAGTTCAACCTTCTGGAAAAAGGAAAAACGGGTGAAGGAAAACTCTAATGAGCTGACAAGAAAACTGAAAGAAACCAGGACTGTCAAAAAGGATTTTGATCACTACAACAACGGAGGAAGGAGATAATAAGATGTTGGCCGGTAACCGACAGTCTTCAAAGGAGTTTTTTGAAGAGATTCATACAGAAAAACACTATGATACAAAGTATGATTTCAACTTGCTCCTCCCAAAAGCAATTTTAACCTTGTTTACATGTACTACATTAAGCGACCAAAAAATTTGAACCATGAATGTCTCAGAGATACTTGTGGCGTTCGATTTGGCTGGTGTTTGAAAGATATGGCTTCTACTTGTGACGTGAGCGTGGAAAACTAAATGATGTTTTTCATGCTCTAACACCAGTATCGAAGTGTTTGCTAACGAGCAGTACAGTGCCGAGCGTGACCTCAAAGAGGTCAGTTTGAAAAGATAGTCGGATGGAGACCATTGATCGGCAAAAAAAATTAAATGCGGTTTTGATTCCGAGACAAAGCCGTCCCTGTCCCGATTAACATAAACACAAAAATAGTTTCTCTCTTCAAATCAACTAAGAGTTTTAAAAAATTAACAAATTGATTGTGTTCATCATGCTTCTTTCACACAAAAGTGATATAGGCTTTTCAACAATTGGCTTGGCATTTGCTTTGACGGAAGTGTTCGGGTCTCACTCAATTGCTATCGATCCGCGATATGCAAGCTTGCGTAACAGCTCAAAATTTTATGGTTTATTTTCTAAAAAAAATAGTTTGTTTTCTAAAATTTTTATCTACCTTTGATGTTGCGGATTTTTAATTAAAATTTGCAAGAAATTATCGTAAAATTCATTTTCATCAATTCTAATGTGGAATAGAACTAAATGATTCTACCAGTTCTTGTTTCAAAAAACCATTTTTACAACGGGACAAACACATCATGTTAAGGTTTTGGACGAGTTTTTCCTTTACCCTTAAATAAATCAGCCTCTCAATTTCGATACACAAAAAAAATTCGATAGTTCTTCTATGTCGCTATGGAATTTTGAGTATTGCTTTTTGTCTCCTGTAGTCAATCCCTGAATGTTTTTCTCTCTAATAACCTAAGTGTGAGCTTAACTTTAGACCTGATTTAAATTTATATATTTTTCCATCAATTTGAGCTAATTTTAAAAAATAAAACGAAAAGTTTTCTTGCTTAAGTAGAAGAAGCTGCTTTACAAGTAAACAGTTTTTACATTTTTATTTAAAATTTTTTATCATAATTGAAGTTTTTATAAATATTTTTATTACGAAAAATAATTCTATATAGGAGTTTCCTGAAGAGATTCATACAGAAAAACACTATGATTCAAAGTATGGTTTCAGCTTGCTCCTTCGGTAAGCATTTTTAACCTTGTTTACATTTACAACATCAAGAGACCTTTAATTTTGAACCATTAATATCTCAGAGGTACGTGTGGCTTTTGATTTGGTTGATGTTTGAAAGATATGGTTTCTTTTTGTGATGTGAGCGAGGAAAACCAAATAATGTTCATGCTTTCACACCAGTATCGAAATGTTTGCTAACGAGCAGCACAGTGCCGAGCACGACCTCAAAAAGGTCAGTTTGAAAAGATAGTCGGATGGAGACCAATGATCGGGAAAAAAAA